CCTGCATTCTTTCTGAAAGCAAAATTCGAACCATGATGTGCTTTACTCATTCATGGTAAAAAGATAAGATGCTATTTTATATTCATGGTATAAAGACACCAGGCCCAGCCTGTGGCAATTTGCTCATTATCTTATAGTAATACTACCTATTACTATCTGGAGGTGTCATTAACCTCTTTCTCCTTAGAGGAGAATTTAATACAAGGCAGATCTGTCTCTCTCACCATTCAATAGAGCATTTAATTATCAAAGGATCAAAAGCATCTTGTTATAATGTGGTCATGCAGCACAGACTCTAAGGGAATTATGAAAGATGGCTTAAGTGTAATTTCCTGAAAGAAAATGCAGTCAACAAAAACTTAGACCACAGAAGATGACAGCTTTTGAATCATAACACGTCTATTTCCATATTCCTATCACAGAAAACTCTATTAAGACAACTTAAGACAGAAAAATCGTGCAAACAAAGCAAGAGTGTTTTTCATATAGACATACTGAGCATTTGAAGGTGTCACCAAAGGTGCTCACTCAGGAATGCCAAATACTGTTAGCAGCCTTTAAGGCTTTAGTCCAGGTCATGATGAGAGACTGCAAAACACACACACACAAAGTGACTGTCTCCAAATTGTCGAAATTAAATGGTTTAAAATCCTGCATTCCCTAATCACACTCCTTTTATTCAGTGTTCATTTTACTACAGCTTCTCTAGAGGAGATTTTTTTAATTGAAATGACATAACATGCCAGCAGAAAGATAGGAAACTCACAATTGCATACACAATAGTGTCATTTATAACTCATCCTTCCAAGATAAAACCAGCTTGCCTTCATAGAAAACCTTGATGGCTTTGTTTAGTGGCTAAAACAATACAGAGAGCCATTTGACATGAGTGATAAAAAAGAAACACTGGAGCTGCCTTTCCTGTTTGTATTTCCCGTTTCCATCCTGCATATATGATTAGAAGATGTCACTCAATTACATTTCAATTTTCTGCCCACTGCATTCATTAAAAAATTTCAGAAATGCTCTGGAAAAGATAATTTATTGAATATATGCTGAATTTGCCATTAGAAATTGAGAAGTATCCAGCTGCACATTTTGCCGTCTCTATCATTGACTTCAGGATATTGTGCTTTCGATAAGTGGACTGTGTTTGGATCTTTACATGTATCATGTAGAGTATAGTAATCCCTTACAGGGATTTAAATGCTTTTATTACTAGGTGCTATCAAGAGAAAAGATGTGGGTTATATTAGTGAAGGGGATTATTTTTTATTACATAAATATTTTATGATATCTATTTTACATTTCTTGCCCTGACAGTTTATTACCACCGACTCTTGTTAATTCCATGCTTGATATAAATTAAATGCGAGATTTTGATGTGTGTGGTTGCCAGGGCCTTGAAGGCCCAGAATCTCTTCTCTAAGATCACAATTGCTTAACTTCTCCTAGGATTAATTTGCCTAACCACAGTCCCTGAGCTCTCTAAGAAAAGGATGATTTGGAAACAGCGTGGCAGGCTTCCGATGCAACAACTCAGAACCTTCTGTTTGTGCAGTTTGTGGGAACTCAAAGACAGAGTTCACCCAAAGACATTTGATAAAGGGCTTGTTAATTTAATACAGTCAAACTCTCCATTGTTCAGAAGCTGGTGCCCTTGTCTGGGGACCTCATTACTTGCTGGCACCTCTGTGTGAGGCCAGTTTGGGCTAGGGAAGGTAGAGAAACTCACACACTCCACGGTTACCACTTGTTAGCAACCCTCACACATGCACACGGCAGCAGGAACCAGCTCTGCCACCCTCTGGGACTTAAGCAGGCTCGCCTCACCTTAGTTATCATCACAAAATTCATCAGACTATTTTTATTTTCCCAAGTTCCTCCGATAAGAAAAAGAACGAACAAAAGTAGAAATGCTTCCATGAACGGAATACAATTAAGAACTGGGAGAATGATAGAAAAATAGGGGAAAGAAGATGACATTGGAGAGATAGGCTACAGCAGATCTCAAAAAGACATATGAAGCTAAACAATATAGATGTTTTCTGTAGGCCAGAGTTTCTTAAATGATTTACAAAGCCCCTGCTAAAGGAAAATGACTATCCCTGCCCCCCAGTGTTAAATCATGAAATATAGGTACCTAGAGATACATACACACGTATACATGGACATATGCACACATATATGTACACACATATGTACATATACACACATATGGTACATTGATATAAACCCACATATTTTACATTTGCATATTTAGGCATTTCCCAATCATGTTAGGTATGCTTCATCGCTGGCTGAGGCTCTTGGCTCTTTGATTCTGCCTAATCTTCATTCTGGGATCCAGGCTGATGGAGGAATCCCTTCCTGGGATATTATCAGGCTTATGATAGAAAGGAAAAAGGGAGAGGGCAGAACACACAGTGGCTATGAAAGCTTCCACTTGAAAATAACATGTATCACTCCTACTCACACTTTATTTGTCAAATCAAGTGGCACAGCCAAAAAGCTAAAGTCAGCAGGGTGACAAGCATAATTTTTCCACAAAAGAAAGATCCAGTAGGGAGGGACAATAAATACTTTTGAAAACTAGGAGAACTTACATGTGAAATTCAAAACTAGGCTAAACTCTTTTTGCTAATAGACTTTATGTGGATCTAAACAATGTTATATGAGTCTAAGAATTTTACAAGAAATGTATAAAACCAATAAAGTTCAAATTAATATTTGTTTATTGTGTTACATGTTTTGGTGAAAGGAAAACATCACTCACCAAGAGAGAAATAAAGCCATGGATCACTTTACGACAGGGATATGCTCTCAGAGCTGTTTTGTGAGGCGATTTAGTCATTGTGTGCACATCACAGAGAGCACTTACACAAACCTAGATGGTGTAGCTTCCTACACACCTAGGCTCTATGGTACAGCCTATTGCTTCTAAGCTACCAACCTGTATAGCATGTTACTGTACTGAATACGGCAGGCAATAGTAACACAGTGGTAAGTCTTTTTGTGCCTAAACATATCTAAACATAAAAAAGGTACAGTAAAAATACAGTATAAAAGATAAAAAATGGTACACCTGTAGAGGGCACTCACCACGAATGGAGCTTACAGGACTGGAAGTTGCCCTGGGTGAGTCAGTGAATGGTGAGTGAATGTGAAGGCCTAGGATGTTATTGTACTGCTGTAGTCTTTATAAACACCGTACACTGAGGCTACACTAAGTTTATTTAAAGACTTTTTTCCTTCTTCAATAACAAATGAATGTTTGCTGACTGAAAGATTTTTACTTTATGAACTTTTTAATTTTCTTAACTTTCGACTTGTAATAACACAGCTTAAAACACAAACACACTGTACAGCTGTATGAAAAGATTTTCTTTCTATAGATCATGATAAGCATTTTTGTTTTTTAATTTGTTATTTTTACTATTTAATTTTTTGTGAAAAACTAAGACACAAGCACACATGTTAGCCTAGGCCTACACAGGGTCTGGATCATCAATATCACTCTCTCCTACCTGCACATCTTGTCCCACTGGAAGGTATAGGATGTCACTAGGTGATAGGAATTTTTCAGTTCCTTTATAATTTTATGAAACCACTGTCATATGTGCAGTCCATTGTTGACTGAAACATCATTACGCAGCACCTGACTGTATTACAAAATGCAAAGGCTCTGGTTTTGTGGTTGTTGCTCGTGTTTGTAATTTAACTAGGTATGCCTGGGCTGTGATGTGACATGTAGTAACTAAATTCTCCTCAGACTTGTCTCTAATAGGCTACTAATAGGTTGTTTGAAAATCTTTCTTCAAAAAGTTTCCATCGCAGCATTTGACCTTCATGTGGGTCAAATTCATCATTACAAATTATGTCCACTTGTGTACATTTTTCATTAACTTATGACATTTAAAGATGTATAATTTGGCACCAACAGAATCATAAAGATCTATAACAGTGAAATTTTATGATAGTGATAAGACAGTCAATTAAATGATCCAGAATACACATATTATTTTTATAGATTTTTAAAATTGATATTTGAAACACAAAATTCAAGGAACCACCTAGACAACTTGAACATCACCTCATTATTCTCATAAGAATGTCACTTCAGGGGCCTGGGGACACTGCTCTAGATGAAAGAGAGCCATTGAAGAATTAAAGTCAGGGACTTTTATAATCGAAGTTACTTGGGGGAAAAATCACGCTTAAGGCACCATTGGGCACCAGTTTGGATGCATAATAATAGGCCTGGTAGGAGAAAGTGAAGTCCTAAAAACAAAGTGGAAAGAAGGAAATGATAGAAACTAACAGGCATACCAACTTGATATCTGGAAGAAAAATAAAATTTGAAGAAACACAGAGAGTTGAAGGGAGGGAAAAAAGTGCATCTGATTTCTGGTCCCTAAGACTTCCATGCCAGCCTCCCCAAACAAGGGAAGCTTGTGACTAATAAATATCTAGGTTGTGATTACTCACAAAAATTGGAAAGAACACCGGACAGAGTTAAAAGGTGTGAGTTCCAACTCCAGCTTTGCCATTTTGTAACTCTGCAGCGTTGGGAAGACAACCACCTGAGCTTGTACAGAGAAGATTCGTAAGCTCTCCTGCCTATGTCACAAGGTTTTTCAGAGTGTGATACGCGGTGAAACACATGAAAGCAGTTTCCAATCTATTGTATTTAGGGAGGAACTTAGTAATTTGTAAAATGCTGTACAAAAGAAGTTATTGTTATGAGGTTAGGCCAGGCGTGGTGGCTCATGCCTCTAATCCCAGCACTTTGGGAGGCCAAGGCGGGCAGATCACTTGAGCTCAGGAGTTCACAACCAGCCTGGGCAACATGGTGAAACCCGTCTCTACCAAAAATACAAAAAATTAACCTAGTGTGGTGATGCCAGCTACTCGAGAGGCTGAGGAGGCAGGATCACTTGAGCCCAGGAGGTAGAGGTTGCAATGAACTGAGATCGCGCCACTGCACTCCAGCCTCTGGAGTGATCTCCCTCTCCAGAGTGAGATTCTATCTCAACAAAATAAATAAAAAATATCATTATGTGGGTTAATTAAAGTTTTCTCCCCTGTCTTTCTTCTCCTAAATACTGGGCAACAAATCATAAAGTAATCCAATGGGAAGTTTTGTTATGAAACTCGAGTCTGAGCAGAGCCAGACCCTCTTTTTGGCATAATAAGGTACAGAATATAAGCTAACAAAGAACTATCATTTATTTGCAAGCAATCTGTTTTTTCCTGAAAGAGTCTACTCTTTCCAGTTCCATCACAACCTTAGTCCTTGAGCTTTCTTTTAGCATTATCACACCTCAGGAGAGAATGAGCAGCCCTGCCAGAAGCTCCACAGATGAGGATCGAGAAAATTCAAAAGAAGAGAATTGACCACAAGGCCAAGGGCCTAAACTGAGGAGGCTAACAAGAAATGTGGGAAAGGATAAAGGGGGATGCTGACTGATGCCATGTGGAGCACCTGAGACATCTAGAGAGTCTATGAGCTAAGTCTTGTAGACAAAACCTGTGGACAACACATACAGAGAAGTCGGCAAGAGAGGGACTGTCTGTACTGGTTGGATTATGTCACTAGAATCTCAGGCAAAAAACTGAGGGAACATTCTTTGGGGGCCTGGGTATGCATTTACTCGGCCGAAGGAAGACTTAACCCATTTGCTTGCCCACCTCCTCATCACAGTCACCAGCAGCTGCCTGGATTCTGCCAGTAGAAAAGACCAGGAAGCAAATAAGCCAGGTGGGACCAATCATTGGCTGACTAGGAAGACATTCTCTTAACCCTCCCACCCTTCTCACCAAGGTAAGGGGCACAGTGTTGATCTCACGTTATTTTTTCAAATCCACCCTTTTGCTGGAGTATGGCAGACGATCTTCCAGGAAAGTTCAGAAAGCAATAAACGTTGACCTAGGCAAAGAACAAAGAGCCTTTTGTTGGAAGTAGGTCTTAGAATAGCATTATGATTTGTTGCTATCCGATGGGTTTTATCTTCTATATTTTGATTCCTAACTTTTCCAAAGTTTTCTGAGACTTTTAAACTAAAAGTAAAATGTAGGTTCTTGGCTATGAGGCCATGTTAAGGGAAGTATTAAAATATTAAAAGGAACTGTGGTTAAGCTACTGGTCTTCCATCTCACAGAGAGCAATTCAGCTACACACAAGGACATATTGTAGTCTTATAGGAAATCAGATTCAGCCACTTTTTAAAGGTGCATTTGAATTCTGCAATGGAAGGGAACTAAAACATTGGAGAATATTGAGGTAGACTCAGAAATCATAATATTTATCAAAAACCACATGTCACCTTACCCTTTCAGTCCAAAAGGTCATATATTATCCTTGAGCAAGAAGTACTGTTGCTCAATATCACAAATGAAACACCAGTATGGTTATACTACTTTACAGGAGTTTTTAAAAGATTATTATGATGACATCATTCTTTGACAATGTTATGACCATTCCTCCATTTCTTAGGCATCTTAAAGACTATCTTCTTTGTCAACACCTTCCAAGGCCATGAAACACTTCCTCCAAATTGTCTGGGTTTCAGTTTCTCACTCCAAAAACCTAAAGAACAAAGCTGCTGATTACTATCTGTAATGGCCCATGAGAACTTGTGATCTCACAAGTGCTTGACACCTCTGTGAGGCAAGTAACTGGCAAACAGTTATTATTCCTTCTTTAAAACAAAAAAGTTGAATCCAGAAAAGCTGAGTGTGTTGTCAAAAATAACTGAGCAGTTATTGAATAAGATGAGCAAATCTAGCTGTTATGGTTGAGACTGGATTTATCTAGGCTAAATTGCACCCTCCAGCATGGAACTACATTTAGAAGATCAGATGCTACTGCAGTTGAACAGAGGGATTTCTAAGAGTTATCATTCTTAAAGCTGGAAGATTTTAAACAAACCAACACTATTTTGGGTCCTGAAAAAGTACGAAAAAATCTAAGTGAATTCAATAAATTTAACTACTGTAGGCTTGTCAACAAAATAAGTTGGCTCTTACTGAAATATGCATGTATATTTCACTTCATACTAATGTGTCCCCTGAAGAATTTTATGGTTATGGTTATTTAAATCCTATAAATCAAGTTATTATTATTATTATTTTGAGGCAGGGTCTGACTCTTTTGCCCAGGCTGCAGTGCAGTGGAGCAATCTCGGCTCACTGCAACCTCTGCCCCCCTGGCTCAAGACATTCTCCCACCTCAGCCTCCTGAGTGGCTGGGACTACAGGTGCAGGCCACTATGCTCAGCTAATTTTTGCATTTTTTATAGAGAGGGGGTCTCACTTTGTTACCCAGGCTGGTCTTCAACTCCTGGGCTCAAGCGATCTGCCCACCTCAGCTTCCCAAAGTGCTAGGATTGCAGGTGTGAGCCAGCCTATTTTTTTATTTGTATAAATTTATGAAGTGCAATTTTGTTACATTGCCTAGTGGTTAAATCAGGGCTTTAAGGTATCCGTCACCTGAGTAATGTACATGATACTCATTAGGTAATTTCTCACTATCCACCCTCCTCCACCCCTCACTCTTCCAAGTCTCCAGTATCTATCATTCCATTCTCTACATCCATTCACATACATTTTTTAGTACCTGCTTATGAGTAAGATCATGCAATATTTGACTGTCTGTGTCTGGTTTGTTTCACTTAAGATAATGACCTCCAGTTCCATCCATGTTGCTGCAAAAGACATAATTTCATTCTTTTTTGTGTCTGAATAGTTACTCCATTGTGAATATAAACCATATTTTCTCTATCCATTCATCCATTGATGGCACTTAGGTTGATTCTATATCTTTGCTAGTGCTACAATAAACATTCAAGTACAGGTATCTTTTTTGGTAAATTGATTTTTCCTTTGGCTGTAGATACTCAGTAGTGGAATTGCTCGGTTTAATGGTAGTTCTATTTTTAGTTCTTTGAAAAATCTCCATACTGTTTTCTACAGGGGTTTTACTTATTTACATTCCAGCAGCAGTGTATAAGCATTCCCTATTCTCCTCTTTCTCACCAATGCCTGTTATTTTCTGTCTTTTTAATAATAGCTATTCTGTTTCAGGTAAGATGATATCCCTTGTGGTTTTAATTTGAATTTCTCTGATGATTAGTGATGTTGAGCATTTTTTCATATACCTCTTGGCCATTTGTATGTCTTCTGTTGAGAAATGTCCATTCATTCTTTTGCCCACTTTTTAATGAGATTATTGAGGTTTTTTTTTTGTTGAGTGGTTTGAGTTCCTTGTCTATTCTGGATATTAGTCCCCTGTGAGGTGAATAGTTTGCAAATATTTTCTCCCATTCTGCAGATTGTCTGTTCATTCTCTTGATTATTTCTTTTGCTGGCAAAAGCTTTTTAATTAAGTCCTGTTTGTCTACTTTTGTTTTTGTTGCCTTTGCTTTTGAGGTCCTAGTCATAAATACATTGCCTAGACCAATGTTTAGAAAATTATTCTTTAGGTATTCTTCTAGTATTTTTACAGTTTACAGTTTTATTTTTAAGCCTTTAATTCATCTTATTTTTTGTATATGGTGAGAGATAGGGGTCCAGTTTCATTCTTCTGCATATGGCAATCCAATTTTTCCCAGCACCATTTGGTGAAGAGGGTGTCCTTTCCCCATTGTATGTTCTTGTCAGCTTCCAGTTGGTTGTAAACATGTGGCTTTATTTCTGCGTTCCTTATTCTGTTCCATTGATCTATGTGTCTATATTTTTTTTACCAGTACCACACTATTTTTGTTACTACACCTTTGTGATATAATTTGAAGTCAGATAATGTGATGCCAGCTTTGTTCTTTTGGCTTAGGATTGCTTTGGCTATTTGGGCTCTTTTCTGGTTTTATATGAATTTTAGGATTTTTTTTTCTAATTCTGTGAAAAATGACATTGATATTTTGATAAGCAATGTGCTGAATATGTAGATGCTTCTGGCAATGTGGTTATTTTAACAATATTAATTCTTCTGATCTATGAGTATAGAATGTCTATTTGTTCGTGTCATCTACAATTTCTTTCATCAGTGATTTGTAGTTTTTCTTGTAGAGACATTTCTCCTCTGTGGTTATATTTATTTCTAGTCATTTTTGTAGCTATTATAAATAGTATTGCCTTCTTTATTTCATGCTCAGCTAGATTTTTATTGGTACATAGGAATGTTACTGATTTTTGTATGATGATTTTTGTATCTTACAATTTCGCTAAATTAATTTATGAAATAAGAGGGTTTTTTTTGGGGGGGGTGTAGAGTCTGTAGTTTTTTGGGTTTTTTTCCCCCAGATATGGGATTATGTCATTGGCAAACAGGGATAATTCGATTTCTTCTCCAATTTGAATGCCTTTTATTTCTTTCTCTGGCCTGACTGCTCTGGCTAGGAATTCCAATATTATGTGGAATAGAAGTGGTGAAAGTGGGCATTGTTGTCTTGTTCCAGTTAAAGGAAATGCTTCCAACTTTTCCCCATTAGTATGATGTTGGATGTGGGTTTGTTGTGTATGGCCTTTATTAATTTGAGGTATATTCCTTCTATGCCTCATTTGTTGAGTTTTTATCATGAAGGGTGCTCAATTGTACCACATGCTTTTTCTGTATCTACTGAGATGATTATATGGTTTTATCCTTAATTCTACTGATGTGATGTATCATGTTTATTGATTTGTATATGTTGAACCATCCTTGCAAACCCTGGTATAGAACCCACTTGATCCAGGTGTATTATCTTTTTGATGTGCTCTTGGGTTTGGTTTGGTAGTATTTTATTGAGGCTATTTGGCCCATATTCATCAAGGACATTGGTCTGTGGTTTTCTTTTCTCATGCATCTTTGTCTGGCTTGGTATCAGGATGATACAGGCCTCATAGAATGAGTTTGGGAGAATTTTCTCTTCTTCAGTGTTTTGGAACAGTTTCAGGAGGATTCGTGTTATTGTTTCCTTATATGCTTGGTAGAATTCAGCTGTGAATCCATCTGGTCCTGGGCTTTCCTTTGTTGGAAAATTTTAAATGATTCAATCTTGTTACTCATTATTGGTTTGTTCAGGTTTTCTATTTCTTCCTGGTTCAATTTTGGGAGGTTGTGCATTTACAGGAAGTTATCCATTTCCTCTAGGTTTTCTAGTTTGTGAGTGTATCTTTGTTTTAATGGTCTGTGATGATCTTTTGTATTTCTGTAATATCTGTTGTAATATCTCTTTTTCATTTCTAATTTTGTTTATTTGACTTATCTCTCTTCGTGCTTTAGCCAGCAGTTTATCCATTTTATTTTATCTTTTCAAAAAACCAACTTTTTGTTTTGTTAATTCCATTTTTTGTTTTGGGTTTTTTTCCTCTCTGTTTCACTTAGGTCTGCTCTGATCTTTGTTATTTTTTTCTTCATCTAGTTTGAGGTTTGCTATGTTCTTGTTTTTCTAGTTCTTTGAATTATATCATTAGATTTTAATTTGTAATCTTTCTACTTTTTTGATGTAGGCACTTAATGCTATAAACTTCCCTCTTAGCACTGGTTTTGCTACATCAAACAGGTTGTAGTATGCTGTTTCCATTTTCTTTTGTTTCCAAAATTTTAAAATTTCTGTCTCAATTTCTTCATTGGCCCAGTGGTTTTTCAGGAGCATATTGTTTAATTTCCATGTATTTGTACAGTTTTCAAAGTTCCTTGCGGTGTTAAGTTCTAGCTTTATTGCATTGTTGGTCTGAGAAGATAGTTGACATAATTTCAACTTTTAAAAATTTGTTGAGATTCAAGTTGTATTTTAAATATCCAACAAGAACTCACTATTTAAGGAAAAGTATCTTTGTGTGTCTTTTGTAAAAGCATATCCTTTTTCATCATGTGAATAATCACTCCTTTATTTGGGGGCTTTATATTCTCAGAATAGAGACATTTGTGTTTCCTTGTAGTAGGATATG